AAATGCAACTTATGGTATGTATCCTCACATACGGGTTTTTTCTGTTGTACAAACATTATATGAAGGGCTGAATCTGTTTAAGATAATTTCTGTATGGCAAGGGCTAAAGCCACCAAAACGGAGGAAGCCAGTGAGCTAAATACCGATGTAGATGAAATTCAATCAGACTTGCGGGTTTCAAAAAGAAAATACAAGAAGATAATATTTTCTTCAGACTATTCTGATGAAGGCGTACCAACTAAAAAAAAATATACGCATTTTATGAAAAAGGGGACTAATCCCTGAATAAAGAAGGTAACTTTTTATTTTCTTTAACGAAATCTGGCTTTTATACATTCTACTTATTGTTTCTTTATATGTTAACCAAATTTTTTTTCGCAGAATTTCTTAAGATTACTCTGAACAAAAATTTATAAAATTGGACCAATGTAAACATAGATTTTCTAGTTACAGATAATGTTGAAAATCTGGCTCGATCTCAGGCTTCATCCAACAGTAGTCAAGTACCTCAAAGGCAAACTGATGATGTTATTGGTGAGAGATAATATGAAAGTGTTATTTTTGTCTTCTAATTTGGAAATAAATATTTTTAGATATTGCTAGTCCAGGCTTTTAATTTCTTTGACAACGAGTAAATGAATGCCTCCAAATGCAATCCTCATCTCCTATATAATATGCATGCAATGCTTTTGGATCTGAATAAAAAAATAGATAAAGTACTGAGTAATAGAGTCGATGAGCCAGTAGTACCCTTAGTAAAAGTCCTAGACAAACCAAGACTAAATTATCCAATGGTCACAGAAGAACAATATAGGTTACTCTTGGAGAATCCTGGTGGTTATAAGATCATAACTAGGAGATTTTTTATTGTTAGGCATACCAATAGCATTGTAAACTTGGCTGGTTGTTATCTTTTTTAGAGGAGGTTTTAACTGATGATAGTGATAATAATATTGTTTTATGTTTTGTTTATGTTCATTCATTTTAGATGAATTTGGATGCAATACTTTTTCTAAGTGCTTTGCAAATGTTGCAACTTCTTCTTTGTTGTTTTTTAACCAGTTTCTCTCTTTATAGGAAGATTGTGGAGTTGTGGACGATTTATTTTTTTGGTGGTATTCCATAAAGAATATTCATAGGCTTCTGTTGCATTTAATTCCTTAAGTATTGTTGTATAGAATTATTTTTGCGATTGTTGAGTATTTTATTTAGTTCTTGCGTTGCTATTGATTAAATTTGTTTGCTCTGCAGGTGATTTTGTGTTTTGCCAAATTTTGCGTAGTATTCTATTGTTAATAATTAATGAAATTATCTATTCTAGAAAACTTAGTTAAACTATTATAATTTTTTGACAGTTCTGCAGCTCTACAACACTTATGCATCAGCCGCCACTGATTAGACTTATTGGTCTTAGGCCAGGCTACTTCCGAGTATGCTGCAGAGTCTTCTGTATAAAATAGTAGGCCCTCTTTGTAGCGTTATTGGGTAAACCCGTTAATTTCCGGTGATTTGAATGGTTCAAATGAGTTGATTATCATTTCAGTTTGTTTTTACCCATTAGAGTCTGTGTAGTCTGCCAATCGTTCCCGATTGATCCTTTACATACGAGCTTCCAATTTAAGTGTACTTCAGATTGCCGGTATGTGTTCTATGGTTTCTAATCCAGGGTAATGAACCCTTTTATCGTTTCATTCCCTCTTCTTTTGTACTCTTTTAATTCGTTCTGAAGAGAGTTTTTTGTCTTTTGAAAGGATATTTTGGAGTCTGGTAAATTTTTTAGTGCTTTATTTCTATTCACAGTGCCTCCTTCAGGAATCTTTCTTGACTTTCTGTAAGATTTTGTTGTAACTGTGGGTATTTAGGATATTAGGAAGTTTGTGCCAAGTCTAAATAAAAATTTACCAATAAAATATTTGCAATATTCGTTTAAAAGCCTAAGAACTAAATAAAACGGACGAGTATAACTAGTAAAAAATATTATACCGACCGAATAGTACTTGAAATAAATTAGTTTTTTGGAAATACATGTTTTGGACAAAAAATACTTTTTGTTTTTATTAGTTATAAAAATATAATTTTGAAATTTGAATAAGAAATTTATTAAAAATTTATTGAACGAATAATGTTTCCTCAGTTAGAAAATAATTTTATAAATTAACTTAAAAAGAAAACAAAAATACCGGTTGTTTAAAATTTCAAAAGAAAAAATTTCTTTATAGGCAATCTTACTACATTAATGATTTATGATTTTAAATTTCTGTTTGTTATAAATTCTTATGGGAAATCCATTTCGGTAGAAAAATGGACAGAAAAAAATGAAAAGTTTGTACTCAAAATATATCCGAATTTTTTGCTCGTTGGATACAACAGGAAAAGAAATTAACTTTTATTAGTAACATTTATATTTTATAAACTTTATGCATCATTAAAATCTTGTTGAAATTTTAGTCTAACTACCCATTTAAATTTTTTACATTTGAATGCTTTATAACTAATAAGCCATTTGAATTTAATAAAATTTCCCTTTAAATAAAATTAAACAGTAAGTAATAAACACAAGTTTTGCAATGCCTAAAAATATCTTAAATTTGGTTTCACCGAGAAACCTCCACATCGATATAATGATATCAAGGCAATTTTACAAGGGTGTTGTTAACAGGAAAATTGGTGTAATTACTTCTATTGCAAACTGTCCGTATTTGAATTTCAAATGTGCCTTTCGATCGATCCATACCCAGTACCAACAGCAGTGTTCTACTTGGAAAAATATAAATTTATTCTGTATTGGAAATGAAAAGCTCTAACTTTTAACGGTTATGGTCGCTGTCGTATTAATTTTCGTATTCATGAAAATTCAACATGGTGTCGTATTAATTATATCTTAAGTGATGAAATGAAAAGGCAGACAAGTTAGGATTTGAAAATAGGGTAAAGAATTTCTCAAACAATTATTCATAAAGATTATAAGGATTATAATAATAAAATAATAATAATACTAATAATAATAATAATAATAATAATAACACATTTATTGTCCACTGTACATATAGTACAGTTTATACAATTAAAAATGGGGGGCGCATCCTACACGCGTCGGTCTCTGTAAGGAAAAGGATTTAAAATTTGAATTTTTTTTCTTAATAAGGATATTAACACTACAAATTAAAAATAATTTGGATTATACAGGGTGACCCAAAACTAGGAGTTTATATCAAAGTTATGGTTTTTTAAAGGGAACACCCTATATTTGATGGTGTCTTTTGAATCCCCGGAAAAAATAAAATAAAGTTTCTGTAATGTTTCCTATACCTATCTTTTTTCGTTTTTGAAAAGGATGCTTAATTTGTAAGCTTGAACAACATAATCTAGTATGTCGCGGTTATTTAAAACACATCAACAGTCACCTGCGATATGCATAGCCAAGATATTAGACTATCGAATAAAATGCAAATTTTTCCATTGCATCATACAGGGTGTTCATTTAGTCTAATTGAATTCAACTTACATATGGAGTTCGAGAATGGATTTATTTTCTTTATTGATTTCCTAATTTAAATTTGCGTTATCTATTTTGACACTTTGCCCCACCTAAACTGTTTATGCTTTGGACCTTTTCGAAGAACCAAGAGATATCGATGTATCGCCAACGCAGTAACAAGTTCGTTCGCCACCGCTTAATTTTTGTAAGTAACTCTGAAGGGAAAGCACCTCGAGAAGCTACATCGGCGGGGTTAGTATGAGTGTCTACATAATTCCAAATATCAGGGGGGAAATTGTGTTGTATAAACGAAACGCGGTGAGCAATAAAGGTCTTCCAGCGATAAGTAGCACCTTTTATCCAATGTAGAGCGATTTGAGTGTCACACCAGGCATAAATACGAGTTAATTTGATAGTTTTTGTAAAAGTAGTCTTTACATAGGTTAACATTTTTTGTTTTGTTAATAAATGAATCGAAAGAGGTGTTCCACATAATTGGCCTCCAAGATCTCCAGACTTGACGTCGTTGGATTTTTTTTATGGGGACACATACAAAGTATAGTTTATAACACTCCACCATTTACTCCGGAAGATATGAAAGCTAAAATAACAACTGTTTTTCAGACAGTAACTGGAGAAATTCTTCTCAAAGTGAAACGATCTTTTGAAAAACGAGTTCAGTTATGTTTAGAACACTTAAAACTTTTTTTTATAATTCATTTTTTGTTTTGTTTTCAATTTGTTTCTTACTCTTTTTCCTTTGTTTGTAGTTTTCAAATAATTAAAAGTTTCTTGTCATTAAATGTTTTTTTTTATTAAAAAAATTATAGTTTTGCTTAACATTGAAACTATTTAACATTAAAAAGTGATAAAAATGTTTATTTCGTTCAATACCATATGTTGAGTGATATTTACTCTATGGTTACTATGATTAAAAAATAATATGATAAAACCCGTATGTTTAAAATAAAAAACAGCTATTTACTAAAGATCCATCGAATTTAGGTATAGGGAAATCTTATATGGAATGAAAGATAATTTAAATGTCTATCAGTTTATGTTATTAAATACAGGGTGTGCCATTTAAAATAGGAATATTATTCAACTCCACATGTAAGTCGAATTCAATTAAACTATATGAGCACCCTGTATGATGTAATGGAAATATTTGCATTTTATTCGATAGTCTAATAACTTGGCTACGCACATCGCAGGTGACTGTTGATGTGTTTTAAATAACCGCGACATATTAGGTTATGTTGTTCAAGCTTACAAATTAAGAATCCTTTAAATGTTTCAAAGCACTTAACTAGACTACTAGTGATTTATATATTATGTGTTAGAATTATGAGAAAATTAGATTTCCTACAAAATCTAAGGTAAGATAGAGAATAGGTATCTGTCAACATTTATTTGGATTGCCGATTTTGTGGGATGACGCTATTTCCTAATAAATGTTGGTACAATTTTTCGTAAATTGATAAATTATTTTGCATGGCCGTATTCATAGTCAATGCTTGAGATGTCATTTGGCCTTGAGGTTTCCTTATGTCCTACAAAAAGAGGAACCCTTAAGTTTAAGGAAGCTTCGGAGGTAACTTAACTCTACCTTGCCTGAGTTTTGAGGTTATTGTCAATGCAATTTTTGGGCGTTACAGAATTAGAGTTGTAAATGGCACAAATTTTATCCCATGTTTCTTGTTCTTTCCTAATGACATACTGTCCGTATTTTTACACCCAATTATTAGTTTACTGATCAACTAAACTTATATGTAACTTACTCTGCTTGAGTACTAGATGTAGCAACAGAAGACTGCTTTTTGCTTCAAGATATCGAGCTACCAGCAAACATGAACACGTAACCAGTTAAATATTTCCTATCTTCGATGTCAGGCCCCGATCTGCATCTATAAAACCTGTCAGATCACAACCACTAGATGTGTAAACTAATCCTTAGTCCGCTGAACCTTTTAGATAACGCAGGATTCTTTTTGCATGATTCCAATGCTCTATACTGAAATTGTTATTAAACCTGCTTAAATAATTTACATCGAATGAAATGTCTGGTCTAGTGCAAATTGATAAGTACATAAGACTTCCAATGAGACATAGATAAGGGACATTAGGTAATTCTCCATCAAATTTTACCAATTTTAAGTTTGATTCCATTGGAGTTCGAATGGGTTTACACTCATCCATTTGAATTTTTTTCAAAAGTTCATGGACATAATTAGTTTGGTCAAGTTTTATACTTTTACCTGAATCTGAATCATTGTAGGTAAGTCTGACACCTAAACAGTATTCAGCTCTACGAAGATCTTTCATTTGTAAAAGTGACATTAGCTTCGACCTAATAGTTAGCTTTTCTTTTTCGTTATTGCAAAATAAAAAGAAATCATCCACATACAGCGCGAAAAGAAATATATTCTTTTCAGAAATTTCGTAGTAAACACAGGGCTCGGTATTACTTTGTTTTAAACCTAACTCTAGTAATATATTTTGTTCTTTAATATTCCACATTTTGGGAGCCTCTTTTAAGCCATATATAGCTTTTTTTAAAAACATACTTTATGTTCTGAATTAGGTTATATAAAAGCTTTAGACTGTTGCATATAAACGGTTTCGGTAAATTCGCCATTTAGAAAAGTCGTTTATACATCCATATGGTCTATACTCAGATTTAACTATAAGCATTCCTAGTACATCACGTCTTACTACGGGTGCAAAAGTTGCCTCAGTCTACGCCATATCTTTGTACAAATCCTTTAGCAACTAACCTGGCCTTGTACCTTAAGGTTTTGCCTTCAGAATTCCTTTTTTGTTTAAATACCCATTTAGATGACACTATATTTACATTTTTAGGCTTATCTACTAATGTAAAAACTTCTTTAGCAATTAAGGAGTTATATTCTTCTGACATTGCCTGTAACCATTTGTCCTTGTCGGGCCCTTCAAGAACTTCAGATATAGTTAGAGGACCATGAGTCTCTTGAACGTCAGTATAGTGCACATGATTATTATTCAAATGATTTCTAAGTGGATATCTACAACCTATTTCTTCTTTACAGACAACATCTGTGGTACTTTTCGATTCGACATCACTCACACAGAAGTGTTTAGTTCAGATCGCTGATGCTGAATAGGCTTCAAGCTTACGACAACAGACAAAGTTGATGTTGAAGCTTCAGCTAGTAAATGACTATCTGAAAGTTGTTTTCTAGAAAATGGACATCTCCTGCACGAGTCACTTTACCATCTTTTTATACTCTATATCCTATGGAGTCGTTACAATATCCCATAAATAGATATTCATGGCATTACTTAGGTTCAACCATGTCATGATCTTTACAAGCCTTAATTTTTAAAATTATTCTATATCGCCTTTTGATTAGGGTTTAAAAACTTGTTTGAGCAATTTATCCAATAATAATTTGCCCCTTTACCTCTTAAGCCTGCTCATGTAAAATATTTGGGCTCCTTATTTCGCCTATTTATATTCTATTAATAAAGGACAGAAGGATGAGCATTGCAACTATGTTAAAATAAATAAATTGGCTCTCAGTTTAGAATTATGTTCAGTACATGACTGATATTTATTTATAAAATAAAAATGACATAGTACCATCGCATCAGATCTATTATAAAAAATTTTAATATAATTCACAATATCACAACTATAATACAAGAAGCCAATCTGACTTTCATGTACGGCAAGCCATCATTTAAAGTTCCCAAAATATAATTTTTATTAAAGGTTTAAAAAATTTAATAGACTGCATACAGAAATTAAAAAAAAAAACAACAATAAATGTATTCAAAAGTAACCTGTAAATTTTGAAATTTTTGGTTTTGTATGTTGAATCGTTTAAGCACTATAGGTCTGGTTCCATCTTTAACAGCTACCCTATATATGTAACATATAGACATAGTATGTAAAGAATGGGCACTGTATTTCATACAGGCATATGAACAACAATTTCAACACAAACAACTGCAAAGAAATAAGGAATGACCAAAATAACCAATAAAGTAGAACGTTGACAGTTGACATAAATTTGACAAAAAATGCGACATTGCCATATCTTAATTCTTCTTAAGGTTTCTTTACGAAAAAATGGTAATTAAACACACTATTAAAAAGAAATTACGAGGAAGACTTAAGGTCACCTTACCTAATGCATTCTTGATCGATCATCGACTATGAATGCAGCCCCTAGTGTACTATTGTGATAGACTTATAAATAGTTTAGGTAGGTATATTTATATTGAAAATTATCTCATGCTAATACATGTGCTAACGCCGCGCCGCCCGTCTTAAACATCAGTAACTATAAGATCATCTTGAATATTTAGGAAATTATACGTTTATTTTGGTAACTAACAATATCTAGAACGCTGCATGCTTTGCTAGCTTCAAAAACAGTACGTGATTTGGCAACCTTTATAAATATTTTAGCTGACAATGAACGAATATTATTTGCAATATTATATATTATTTGTATCTTCAAAGTAATAATTAATAATATTGATTTGTATGAAATATTTTGAATATTCGAGCATAATTGAAATTTACGAGAACATTTGTAAATGTCTAGCATTGCCAGCCTTTAAAAAACGCAAAACATAATATATGTTTGCCATTAGGATACATTATTTAGTTGACTAAGCTAACTAGGATGAATGTGACAATATTATTGTTTTGTTTAAGGGAAAACTGGAGGTTCTCGCTTTGAATTATTAATGAGTTCGTTTCAATTAACCTAAACTAACTTTAATTACTGCCAAATTTATGCAGAACACAACAAGCGTAAATATGGCATAAGGTTATTACCGAAAGGTAATAAAATATTCAGTAAATGTTAAATGGTTTCTCAATAGTTTCGAGTGTATTTAATGAAAAACAGCATCTTATTAACTTCGCTGTTAAATTCTATAAAGAAGTGCAGTAGATATCTAAAAATGTATGTAGTTAATTAGAAATTGCGTGAGTAAAACTTAAGCATTTACGCTAAATTGAGATTCTTTTAAAAAATGCATGAGTTTGAGAATTTAGAATTAGTCGAATATTTTTTTAACTGGAATTTTGTACGATTGTCTTTATAATAAGTACACTCCTCAAGAACATGCTTCACAGACAGAAGCGTTTTATAGTACTGACACATTGGTGGGATGTCAGATTTCATTAAGTAGACATGGGTTAGGCGGGTATGCGGGTATGTCCAATTCTCATTCTCCTAATAACCACTTTTTCTCGTCTTGACATATGAGGTAGTTTAAAGGGGGTGATCAAGTGCTGAACTTTGTGCAATTTTGTTTTTAACGTGCTCGAATGATTCTGCCATGATTCAAAAATTGATTTTTTAATTTTTCTTCTTAGGTCACTGTGAATTTGTAAATCTTCTAGTGAGGAACCTGATAATAGTGCTTCCTTTGCAGTTCTATCTGCCATTTCATTGCCCTTAATTCCTATATGTGATGGAATCCAAATCAGAGTAATGGAAATTCCTAAAGAAGTAAAATAGTTGCAAGTATCATGGATATTTTGAACTAGCAGATGTTGAGTGTAGAGATTTTGTATGGATTGAATGTAAGCTAAAGAATCTGTAAAAATTGCCAAATGTGTATCTTCTTGAGATATAGACTTAAATGCTTAAAAAATTCCATACAATTCACCAGTGTAGACACTACATAACGATGGAAGCAGAGAAGTTTTAATAGTAGTTGAAGTGGTGGCTAACATTCGTATCATTTTTTGATGCGTCTGTAAAAGAACTTTGTTAAAATAACATGTGTTAATTAAATCCAAATAATTCTGTTTTAGAAGTACTTTATGAGTTTTATGTTTAGTATATCTGCATATCGACAGGTTAATTTAAGGTAAGGATTTTTTTCCAGGGAGGAGTAAAAGAAATTGGAAACGGCATTTTTTTTAGGTCAATATTAGTTAGTAGTGGTCTAAGAATTTGTGGAATTGATTGAATGGATTTTAGTGACGATGGATTTAGATACATATTTGCGGAAACAAGAGAAATATATGGAGGATTATAAGGAGTTGCAGATACTCTGGACGAGTAAGGAAGCAGAAGATTATGGCGTCTTAGCCATAATGAAGGTTCATGTGCTTCACAATTTGAACTTTCTGCAGGACTAGACCTAAATGCTCCAATACTGAGGCGATGTCCAGTATTATGAATTAAGTTGAGAAATTTTAAAAGGAACTTGGAGGCAGATATGTGTATAATGCTTTCATAATCAATCTTCTATATGCTGGTAAAAGTACAGTTTGTTCAGCACACTAGTGAATGGTGCGACAATATTTTCAAAATATCAAGTCTTTTCATGCAGTTAGCTTTAGTTTATTTGATATCTTCTTTCCAAGTAAGTCTGGAGTCAAAAGTAATGTCCAAAATTGTATGGTGCTTTACTACAGAAAGGATGATACCATTGAGGGGATTTTGAATTCTTCTTTTCCTGCTAAATTTAATAATTTTAGACTTTTCTGTTGAAAATAAGAAGCTGACTTAATGAATCTACGGCACTTTACATTAATTTAAATGTTCGGTTGTTACTCTTACCATGAAATGACATAACAAGGTCTTCCACCTATAAGACGTATTTAAATGGAGGACGAAGATTTGAACAAATGCCATTTATTGCGAGTATGAAGAGCATAGGACTCAAAATTGAACCTGGTGGAACTCCATTCGACTGCGAAAAGGTCTGTGATAATATACCATTAGCTGCCACTTTAAAACTTCTATTACTTAAAAAACTCCAAAGAAAGGAGTAAATGTTGCCGTGTATATTATATTCTCTGAGTTTTCGAAGGAGCATGGTAGTTAATACCGTATCAAAAGCACCTTTAATATCAAAAATTGCAACAATAGGCTCTTGCTTGTTAGACAGGGCATTTACAATGGCAGTTTGGAGTATGACTAAATTATCTGTGTTGTCTGAAACCTGACTGTGCTTGCGAAATTATGTAATTTTTCTCAAGCTACCAGAGCAATCTTTAATTTATCATTTTTTCCATTAACTTGCACATAGTACAGGTAAGAGCAATTGGTCTATATGAGTTGGAAAGAGTGGAAGGTTGGTCAGGCTTCTTTAATGGAAAAGTATGGATTCTTGCCAGAGTGTAGGAGACTTTTGATCAATCCATATTCTATTATAAAGTTTAAGTAATTTAGAGAGATTTTTGTTGGAGAATTTTTAAGAAAAATAAAAGGAAAGTTATCAGGTCCAGCCACTGAATTTTTACATGAAGCTATAGAAATCATTAGTTCTTCTAACTTAAAAGGTTACGAAGGTGCACCTATATTTTGCGTGGAACATCATATTAAAGTTATTCGAGTAAACCAAGAACATTGAATAAAAAACACGTATTTATAATAAAAAACGGCAAAAGTTTTCTACGAATTGACAGAAACGTGATACTCGTATTTCAGGCCTCTAGATTTAAATGGGTAGAAGTAAGATATTGCTAATTTCATTTTGTATTGGTCTACAGATGAGGCAGGATTCAACCCTTTCTCTATCTACTAGACCTCGTCTGTGATGACAGAGTCCGGGAAGTGCGTTGTCAAAATAGTTTGATGTTCTTTTCCAATTTTGTAGTTTTCATAGCATCTGTTTTTATTAGTGCACCAATAATTCATATTCTTCACCTTATGTTTACTGCATACACCATTCCCAGTCTTTTTATTTAAATAAATTGTCTAATGATGCAGTAAATTAAATACTGGTAAACCGGTAGCAATTATTTATCTTTATGAGATTAAAAAATGGTTTTAATTTCTTAATTTTTGTTTCTTAACCTGTTTATACTAAAAGTATTGAATTAAATTCTGCAAAATCAGCACAATAACATATTTTCAACTGTGTGTCTGACATATTATTAGACAACTCATCCGATGAAATATCGTCGCATAGTCCATGAATTAAATTTATGTCAAAGAGATTAATGAGATGGCTGGTAAGTAATTCCCACAGTAAAAATATTTTTAGAGCGTTGAAAACGTTCTTTCCATCGATGGAAGCGTTGGCATTGGCTTTCATTTGAATTTTAATTGGATTTTTCAATATAAATCACACTTGCTCATAGGATATAATGTATAATTCATTTATCATCTTCTTTTTGTTTCGTATTCCAATAGCGATCAAACTCCTGCTTATCCCTTTAATCTATATTGGGGATAATAATGATGTGTACATTTTTGAACACAGAATTTTTATCTTTTAAATTCTACTTACTTTTTATTTAAAATATTCTTATAGTCCGAGTCGTACGTGGCATTTTTTGGAAACATTTCTGATAGAGTTTATAGTAGGTCTTCTTGGAGGTTTTGAGTTGCTAGTTTTAAATCTTACGTTGACACCACTTATTAGCCTATGATGATTATAATATTCAATATTTTATAAATAAAAATCCCAAAAAATTCTGGTAATATTCTATTTAAATTTTTTTGAAATAAATAGATAAATGTATATCACAAATAAATTAATTATAAAGAACCATAAAATATTATAAATAAGTTTTAATTGATGCATTTGATACTTCATTAGTAAATAAATTTAATTTCTGTTTAGCAAAAAGTTTTTCCTGGTCAATAGAAAGAGTAAAAAGTTGTTTTTAAAAATGGTAAAATGTTAATTTAAAATTCAAAACTATAGACCCACTTCTATTATATGTAATACTAGCTGACCCAGCCACGCGTTGCTGTGTCTCAGTAATTTTAATACATTGAATCAATTTTTTACTAATTCTTTGTTACGTTTTCTATAACGGCCGCAGACCACTGCAGGGTGTAGTGTAACATTAATGTTATGCTGGTTTTTGGTATCACAATTTATTTCAACTCAACTTTAACAACAAATATACAACTGATAACATTAACATGTAACGTCTATCATAAAACTGAAAACTGACGTCAGGATCATCCTTATATAGCTTCTCGAACCTTCTCTAACTGTCATCTAGAATATTCTTGACGGGTAATGACATTTCCAGACATTTCGGGACTATTCCATCTTCTTTTACTTGTACTTTTACTTATAACGACCTCAGCACACTATAGTGTGATGGGTGACATTGCACTTCTTTTCAAATTTGTACGTTTCCTATAACGACCGCAGGCCACTGCAGGGTGTAGTGTAACATTGCTTACATGTTTTCGAGGTGGTATGAAAATTAGTAGAGAAAAACAGTAATAAATAAAATTTTATTTTATTATTTATAATATTAAAAATATTCAAACTGAACACTGCACAATAATAACACAATACAAAGTATAATTATGAAAATGATTCACGAAAAATTGTTATAGTATAATTATGTGGAGAATATAAACGAAAATGACGTATGATTATGTTGAGAACATAAACGAAAATGACTTGGAATCAAACAAATACTGTAATTCAGATGAAAAATATGTGAACCCAAAATGTTCGTGATATGATTGGTCAAATACATCATGAAAATAGGCGCAGTTAGTAGGATTGAACGCCGTTAAATTTTAAAAATGTTTATTCCAGTTTTAAATCTTTCCATCGATACAATAGATTTAAAGTTGTCTTCAAATTATGTATTGTAAAATAACCTGTATTGTCGCTAAAAAATCTAAATACACAAAATTTGGCATAAAGTAATAGCATAAAATTTTTACATATGACGTCATGTATTTTTGCCCAATGATTTAAATTATTACACCGGCCGCTCTACGAAGATGACGACGGAAATATCCAGAGTGTCTATCAAGCTTCCATCATTTTGGAAGAAGAATGTAAAGGTTTGGTTTTTACAGGTAGAATCTCAATTTATCACAGCTAATATTACAAGTGAAGTTACTAAATATCATTATGTTCTTGATTCCTTAGATTCAGAAATAGCAGACATGATATCAGATTTAATTTCTAAAGCACCTTCTCCTACTCCTTATAAGGACCTTTAAAGTAGGTTAATTGAGTTATTTGAGGAATCTGAGGAAAGAAAGGCCAAAAAGCTTTTAAACGAATTAGAACTAGGTGATAAAAAGCCATCTGTTCTATTAAGAGAAATGAAAAATTTAGCCAATGACAAAGTGACAGATTATTTTTTACGCACCATGTTTTTACAAAGACTGCCAAATACTTCTCGTGCCATCTTAGTAGCTAGCACAGATAATGTTGAAAATCTGGCGAAGATGGCTGACAAGATTGTCGAGATAAATTCGTCAGATTCTCAGTATATTTGTGCGGATCAGTCGCAATCAAGCCAATCATTGCATAAAGATAGGCTAAGCATTTTAGAGGATCAAATGTCCGATCTTGTTGCTTCCGTTAAGGAATACAAGTCCAGTAAACATTTTAGAAACAGGTCTAACAGTAGAGAAAATCTGTCAAAGACTTACCGTTACTGTTGGTATCACTACAAATTCAAAGAAAATGCTCGTAAATGTATTCAACCATGTTCTTTTAAAACTTGTAGGTCCATCACTAAAGTCGGCAAGTGATGGCAAAATTTTCTCTCGCCGCATGTTTATCATCGTTCCTCCAGTATGAAGAATTTAATTGACACCGGCGCCGATATTTCGGTTATTCCTCCCACTAAATTTGAAAAGCAAAATTCACTATATGATATTGCAGATGCTCAAATTGAAGACTTAGAAATTCAACAGCTTTTAATTAGTCCTAACTGTAATAGTTCCCTAAAATTACGAAAAATTACTCTTCCCAGCGGAAAAGATTTGATAGTCGACTCTAGTCAGAATAATTTTAGGCCCCTCGTATGCAAAAAATTAAGGAAATCAATTTTTAATTGCATTCATAATTTATCACATCCTGGACGATTACTATACGGTGCAAGAGAGAGATCCGACACGCCCAACATAGGGCGCGGCCATTTTGATTCCTATGCCACAGTTTATAGCTAAAGAATCAGATCGCTCACTCTGCGTCGGCAGTTTTGATCTCAATGTTCTAGTTTATACACTGCGCAACTCGGATAATACAATATATGACAACCGCCTATAATAAAACAGCAGTCTTCTGCGTATCCTGAATTTGTATCCCTGGAGCGGATGTTATTTTGGAACTTTCAACTGGTCCGAGTGAGCTAACTGATTCTTTAGCAATAAACTGTGATTCCAAAAATATTATTCACTGACACTGACAGCAGCAAGAAAAATATCACCCCAAAAACAAAATTTAGCGTAAATGTTGAAATTGCTCTCCTTCAATCATTTGGTACTGACCAATACGAGTGTAAACACTTTGTACACTTCGCTCAAGGACTTGGTGTAATGTGCTCCACTTCAGCGCGAATTCTTTGCCGTAGCTCATCTAAATTATTTGGCCTACTAAAATACACCTTTGATTTTAAATAACCTTAGGGAAAAAATCTAAGGGAGTTAGGCCTGGGAAACGCGGTGGCCACTCAATTGCTCTTCGACGTCCTATCCATCTTCCGGGAAATGTGGCGTCAAGATACGGACGGTTATTCCAAAGTGGGGAGACTCCCATCTTGTTGAAACCAAAAATTCTGATGAGGTATATTTACTTCGTGATCATTTGCTAAATAAATCGCAAAAAGGCCAAATAACGTGCTGCTACCTAAATTAAATTATGATAATTTAATTTGGAATTTGCATCATTCTTTAATTTAAAACAAATTATTTGTCCGGCAACCCTATAAAATTCTAGGATTGAAAACAGGATTACCAAACCATTCTTAAACTGAAATAAATACAGGGTGTTCAATTTAAAAAATATAGATTTTTATTTGCCAGTCAATAACGCAATACCATGTATATCCAAAAATATTTTTAAGAAATGTATTTTTTGAATTAATATAACATTAAGTTGAAGCTTGTTTGCGTGTCTATAACACAAATTAAAATATTGAACAAATACTCACTATTTTTACGGGATTCCTAGGTTAACATACTGTATATTTTCCAAGTCAGCGAAATACAGTAAATTTTCCATAATTAACGTACCTACTTAAACCGAGGTATTATGTTTATCGTGATCATATTTATCCATAATTAAGAACGTTATGACCGGCATTATTATTATTATTACAGCGAAATAGCTTATTAACCCAGTTAGTTACTAATCTATTTTGACATCCCATGTGTGCTGCACTTGTTGAATTCTGCATAGCTCTAATCGTGATGCTTTAGGTAAATTAAAATCCATTAATTATGCAAAACGTGATACTCCGGCTAAAACAAAACAGTAATATTGTCACATCATCCGTTGATGGTCTAGCGACACTAGGTAGGCATGCTAAATTCACTGTTGTCACTCATTTAACGTTTGTGAGCTGTTCACGTATCACTGATCATCGAATTATCTCTTGCTGAAATTGGATTTATAATAGATTTGAAATTTTCAGTTAAATTTACGGTGTAATATAAAGATACTTTTACTAGCCGTTTTTTATGGCTAAAAGCTATACTAGTAATTACCAGTAAATGTCCACAAACTGGTTACGAGTCTGTCAGATGGGCAAAGGTATATGTATTTTTAGGGTAGAGAGAAGGGGTTTCTACCCCATATTATTTATGTCTCACTAGGTCCACTATGGATTCTCCTGTTTCTCTAAAGTCTCTCTTAGCTCGTCAACCAACAAAAGGTTGACTCATACATATAGTGCACTGCTTGGGGTTGATCGAAAAGTTGCGTCTATCCATTTGTCCCAATTTTGTTTCTCCGGTAGCGCTGAGTGACTCCCATTATTTTCGTCTTTCCCCTCTGGTTCTCCCATCATCCTGAAGAATACTTGGAGGTTAATCGGAAGCTACATTGATCAATTTTTGAGTGGCTGCTATTCCTCTTTTCCAATACCTCATCCTATCATCCTATCATCGTTGACACTGCTTTGATCATTTGTTCAACATGTCTTTTTAATCCAGTTGTCTCCAACAACCTATACATTGCTTCTTTTCATGATAGCTATAGTATAACTACCATTTATCTTTACGACCTCTGGTTGTTCCATTAAACTTCTTTTATTTGTATTAAAGAGGTTTTACATACCCTAAAGGAACATATTAAATGTGTAGGAAAGAGAGATAAAGTGTTTTAGATGGACGACTAGCTAATAAGGGGCAGAACCGTTTTAAAAGTAAGAGGACGTGTGCGACAGGCACAAAGAATAAAAGTTTGGTCAAAAATATATATAACATTTCCGATTAATCGGAAAAAATAAAAGAATGGAACCATTAGGCGCTACCAGAGATTGCTACAAAAGGATCGATGCATTTTACGATGAATTTAAGCAGTATCCAGGATAGTACAATAGATGAAAAGGAGCCACACATAGCGTTACTAAAAAAAAAACCGTTTGGGACAAGGATCGATGACGATGAAGTTGGAAGCTGCTGGGCGAATATTCCTGTATATTTATATGGTACGCTATATGTGAAAGCAGAAACTAAGGGTATACAAGTTAAAGCAGTTTAAATCTATAATAAGTATTTCGAGTGTGCATTTTGATGCGTATGTACACAGGCTTTCCAAAAGTTATTACTGCCAAAAAATAACAACGTGAAGAATAGAAATACCAATTCCCTTGCTTGAATATTAGTCCCTGTCACTCAAGTTATATAAAGACATTTTGCCATACCATATAAATAATAGTGACGTTGTACATATTTCATTTTAGATAATTCTTGTTAACATTTAATTCATTCTTACTTCAACCTCATTTGAGAAAACCAGTATTTTTGTAATTTAAAAATAAAGTTTTGTTTTTAAAAATAAGTTTCGATTCTAAAATAATTTAACTGGCACAGTTAGTAAGATAGTTCGCAGTTCGATTTTGTAAAGCCACGATATCGAGACCGATTTCAATTGAATGTAAGTTTTAACTCTTTGGCAACCAAACCTACTCGGAAACCGCTGGTTCTCTTCAGAAGTTGGTAGCAGAATCACTGCAGGGAGAACTACTGGTAAGTATCAAGTTATCCTTTTGCATTTTCCTTAGTTTATTTAAGATTGGTAAATTTGTCTGGTCAGAAGATTTATTATATTATAGGTTAAGTAAATGAATTTTGAAATATAAAAATTAATTGCCAATTTTAATTTTTTAGTAAAAATTATTTAATAATTACCGAAATGGCTCAAAATCAAATTATTGAAATTAATATGCAAATGCTTAGGTTAACTATAGATCTAATTCAGAATTACGATGGTAATCCATCTACACTAGTACAGTTTATTAATGATTATCAATTTTCAGTAGATTCATATGATAAATTTCGCGACGTAGTTCTAGATAATTATATTTTTAGAGTAACTCATTTAAAATTAGTAGGTAGTGGACATTAATCAGTTAGTAGGAGAACATAATTAATTAAATTGAATTTATTAAAGAACGCTTTAGAACAAAGTTTTGGAAATAAGAGATCTTTGGAATGCCTAGAGCAGGATCTGTTAATGGCTAAACCATTAAAATAAGAACCTACTCTCGACACAAGAAGACTATAGGTTTTAAGAAGCCAATTGATTGAAAAAGTAAATAGTTTTTCAGAACAAGAAATGAATGCTCATACTAAAGAAATTTATCGTAGAAAATACGATAAAATGTCACTTAGAACTTTAATTAGAAATTTACCAAGACTTTTACAATATACTATTAGAATTAAAAATCCCAAACTATAGAAACTGCTATTGCTTATATTGTTGAGGAATAAACTTTTTATTATGCTCAAAATAATATTAAAACTTATAATAATTCTACACATAACCCAACATATCAAAGAAAATTTAATAATCATAATGCACAAAATCAACATAACGTAAAAAGTTATGCAATGCCTGATAATAATTATCAAAACATATGTTATTCTTATTCAACTAACCCTCAGTACTCAACAATCAATATACCAGTACCAAAATAATATTTTCATACAATTCCCCATAATCAAATTCCTCCCTCATTTAATGCAAATCCAAACCAAAATTTTAATCAATTTTCGAGACAACCTATCCCATTTCAACCACGACAAACTAATCAATTCCCAAGTATTTGGACCACCTAAAAACGCATTTGCACCCACAGGAAGAATTTCTCAAAATGACCCTAAACTTTAAGAAATACCTTCAGAAACAATCAATCACGTAACAATTATTTTAAACCAAACGGTCCCCAAAATTTTAATTTTCAAGAATTACACCAAATTAAAACTAAAGTTAATACAGAAAATAAAATTTAAAATCCAAATAAATCGAACCTCTATACTGACAATGGCTGCGTTCATCCGCGCCACATGCTACCTGATCGATCTGGTAGCGCTCTCGAGTGGCACGTATGAACGGTGTATTTTGACATTTCGCTCAAGGAGCGGCCGCCATTAAAAGTAGCGCATTTTATTTACGTCTGATCGGTGATCACTGATCTGTCTTACGCACTTACGTCCACGGTTTGCTTGGTGACTAGTAGGGTTATATTAGCATATTAGCAATTGAAAAATAAACAAACAAATCTTCAACCAGAGACATTCAA